TCCTTCTGTCCAGCACTGTCCTTAACAGCTGCTGACGGCTCAATTTCCTGACCACTGAAGCCCATCAGAATGTTTCCCATTGTTTCGGATTTCCTCTCCTTTGTTTGCGTTGTCCTGTTGACTTTTGAGGCTTGCAAGAAATTTTAAACTTATATGGAAATGTTATAGAGGGAGGGGGTAACAAGTTAAGAGAGTGCCTGTGTTATGCTTCTCCCAATTCCAGAATTTAAAATAAAAGTATCATTGCCTTTCGCCCTGTCGGCATATATGCTGCTACAGGTAGTCCTCGGCTTATGACGACAATTGGAATTGATGTCACTAAGCAATGCGGTTGTAAAGTGTGACATCACATGACCACATTACTTAGCAACAACAATTCTGGCAGTCCTGGTTGTCATCGTAACCCGAAGATGTGGGAAGTGGTGGGAGTCCCAGGTAAGGAGCTCAGGGGTATCGTGGGCTGTTGGGGAGGCCCTGGAAGGGCTGGCACAGGCCACACAGGAGTTGGGGGAGGGCTTGGGAGGCCTGGTGCAGGCCACAAGTGCAGGAAGGCCAAGGGATGGAGGGCGCAGTGGGGCACAAGTGCAGGAAGGCTGGGGGAACTTATCAGAGCAATGTGCAACCTTCCCTACCAGCTTGTGACTTTGCTTGTGGGAAGTCAACAGGGAAGGTTGCAAATGACAATCATGTGACCACGGGACGCTGCAACCGTTGTGTGAGCCGGCTGCCAAGCACCCGAATTGCAATTACGGGACCTCGGAGGCACTGCAACAGCCGAAACTTCAAGGACCAGTCATAAGTACCTCTTGTTCAGCACCATTATATCTTCAAATGGTCACTGAATGAGTGGTCGGTACGTGAGGACTACCTGTAATTTTCTTGAAAAACCTCCCAGGGGCCTCCAAAGGATTGCATTTGCTGCTCCCAAGATAGTTTCATTCATTCCTCATGCTCAACTCACTTTGGGCAATGCAGAACAAAGAGGGGTGGGCAGTCTTTGAAGGGCCATGGAACACAGCTCATCCTCCCACACTCGTGCAGGCTGCAGAAGACCTTCTGGGTGTTGAAACGTTTTTTTTCTCCAATCTGTTTTTTAAAAAGTTTTTTTGGGGGGGGGAGGGGGTTATAAAAGAAGGGTTCCCAAATGGTGACTGGGAGGCAAAGCACTTTCATTTCCATTGTTAATTCTCTGTCCCCAAATAGCCCCAAAGCGGGCCACTGAATTTTGATAGCAAGATTGCCAAAATTTCACCAACGTGTTTCAAAGGATTGGGGGAGGGAGCTGAAGGGAAGAAACCAGAGCAATCCGTAGCCAGAGTCTTCTTGCTCCCATTTCCAGGGGTAAATATTGGGGGGAGCGGGGGAGAGTGAAAAAGTGAAGATGACAGCCACAACCACACAAAGCCCCGCCCCCTTCTGGCACATGACCTGTCAAGATGGGGCAGGGCTTCAATTTCATCATTGTGACCATCATCTCAGCCTACTGTGGAATTTTCTGCCTGTTCCCATCCTTTTTAAGGGTGGTGGAGGAGGAAAAATTTGCAAATATTTACATGCATCACATATAAAAACTGAACAGGACTTAGAACTTTTTAATCCCCCCCCCCCCCAAGGATGCCCCTGCCCATTGGCGGGTGTAGGGGAGGAAAAACATGCACACATTTTTACATAAAAAATGAGTTAATTAAACATTACAACTAGGGAAGAAGGAAGCCTCCACATAAAAAGAAGGTCAGTGAAAGTGGCAGATGTGGAACAGCAGCATTTGCTTTCTCAACTAAACTTTATCATTCCCGGTAATTTTTCCTGAATAAGAAATGATGGTTAATGTAGCAACTTGTCCCGAGAAGAACCCGATGATTATAAATGGATTGCTGGAAATGTCCAACAGTGAAAACAAAACCTCTCTTTAAACAAAACTGAAAGGGCACAGTCTTCAAGTCACTCATTAGGGAGTAAGTCCCCCTGAAAACCTGGAATTCATCTCTAAACAAAGATAAACAAGCTTGTGTTATAGGAACAGCAGTCTGAGGCTGCAACACAATCTTGTGCACACTTAGAGGTAAAAGCTCTTTGACTCAGGCTGAACTCATGGCGATTACATAAACAGGACAAAGTAGCTTTCTGGGCAATAATACAGATTTTCTTGCAAAGTCTTCCTTTTGAGTTCCTACTCTAACCTAAGAAAGCCCTGGGGCTTTCTGGCATCTCCCATCCAAGTACGAAGATCAGTCAAGGTTGAGTAAACCAAAATAAGCTCAAATAGGTCTTATTTCTGGCTAGAGAAGCACAGGAAATACCTGGAGGTGTGCAATACAAATACCCTGCACAAGACAACCCAATGAACTTGTTTGCCCAGTATCCAGCTGAGCATTCTGCAATACTAAAGTTTGCTCCAAACTGTTCTTAGGATGCAGTCATTCCAAATGGTTACAAGTCCAAAACGCATTTTGTTGTACTCCCTCTTTAGGTCATCCTATGTCAAAGTTTAGAAGATGATGCTAAGCAGTTCAATAGCTATGAATATATGGGGTGGAGCCTTCCCTTTCAGAACAGCCATTCTCTTTTATTCCTACACTTTGTTTTCTTTGAGCAAAGAGGCATTTTTACCATTTCCAGGACAATATTCAGGCACTCAGTAGAGTATCTACTCATTACACACCAACTTACTCAATACGTCATACAGAAGATGGACTTTAAGCCAATAATGTTCTTCCTTATCTGTTTGATCCAGCTAGTCTTTCCCCAGGGTGGTGCCATTTCCAAAGTATTAGCGTCATTTCTCAAGATACCTTTTATCTCAACAAGTCTCGATTAGGAAACTCTAAAGAAAGACCGCTGAAAGCGGGGGGGGGGGAGGAAGAATACCAGGGAGACCCAGATATTTCAGAACAGTTAAAAAGGTGAGGCTTTGTATTCTTAGCAAGACAAACTTATTTCTCAAGAAGATGCTTAGATCTTCCTTTCTTCTCTTCTTCCCTTTATTGTTGTTTGTGGCTGCTTCTGTCCTGAAAAATGTTTCAGTAGGTTGGCATTCCATATATTATTGTCATAATCCAATTGTCCCTACGTTTCAAACCACTTTTACTCAACTTGAGACCTTCCTGATATGTTCAGCTACAAAATCCATTAATCCAGAACACTTAGTCACACTAACCAATTTATCAGAAGAACATTACGTTGAAGAAAAGATAGCATAATTTTCTTTTCTTTTTTAAAAAAGACATTTTAAAAGTCAGAGATTATCACTCCATATAAACAGCAACGTTGTAGAGACACAACAGATGTTTCTCAGCATGTAGCTTACCCATCTCAAAATGGAATAGCTGAGAAAGGAAAGGACAAATGAAGTTCATTGCAATTAAAGAAGTAAAGAAAAAAATCAGCTAAAAATGTTAGGGTACCAAAACTATAAGTATTGGTTGCTTCAGAGCTCTACCAATAGAGTACATGCATAGAAAACTCTGCATACTGCCCCCATCTTTTCTGGCTGGAATCTGAAACAGCAGTCAGGAGGAACCGCAAAGAATCTGACTTGCATCCTCTTAACATTCTTTGGGAAATTACAACAGACACCAAGATACACACACCTCTTTGATCACCCCACCCAACATAAATTGATCACGTCGGCTCAAACTGACTTCATATTGTTAAGATTTACTCAATTAAATAAACCTTAGAATATCTGCCCAGGATTCAGACCTAGTGTCTATTTCTCACTGGGAATGGCTGACAGACAGACACAGCTGAATATTTTCAATGAATACTTGGGGGTAGGGTGGTCTGAAAAATGTTTTGCTGCAGTGCGTCAGATTGTGTGAGAGGGAATCACAATGAAGCTGGTGCAATGAGAAAATAAATAAATCCACATCCCCATCAACATGGAAGAGCCCAACCTCCTTAAACCTGCCAAGCTGTTTGGGACTTTGAGAACTGTTTGGTCCAACTTATTTGGAGGACATCAGCTTGAGGAAGGATGGCCTGTATAGGGCTTGGCTTATAACAGCCCCTTATGGGAAGATCCTATGAAGAAATCCACCACAACTGAGGATAAAAACTTCATCTAACAAAGTTCAAAATGCATAGTCAGCACAGGATGAACATGGCAAATTACATGAAAACTCCATGTTAAATGATAGTCCAGAGTGTCACACTTAAATTTAAGCCAGAGGTCAATGCCCCTCTCCTTGCAAAAATCTTTAAAAGATTGTTGGAATAAATCCATTAAACCCAAGGAAATTCCAAGGTAAATCTGTCACAACTAAGACGTGTCCAGATTGCACAGCACAAAGAGTTCTTTATTAGAAGACCCTCATAGAGTAAGCAAGAGTTTTAAAGACTGCAAGCTAAAGGCACTCCACTGTGTATATATTACACAATCACACTATTGCTCAATCACATTATTAGAGAGGATGACCCGTATGTTTCTGCAGTCACTAGCTCATGGCATGTTTCAGTGGGGAGTAGAAAATTCAACTAAGACTCTAGGTAAATGCAACCCTCCATTGCCACAAAGCTGAGCAGACAGCTGCATGTACCTTGAAAAGGTACACAAAGCCAGCATGGCTGAGCCACGCTGCATGTCCAGAGTCCTCTACACAGTGGAATCTAATGCTGAGTACAACTTCCAGACTGCAGGCGGCCACATCTCACATCTCCTTGAGAAGTTCAAGGTGGTGTTGACAGCAGCCCCTTCTCCTTTTAACCCCACAACAAGCACCCTAGGAGGTAGGTTGGGCTGAGGAAGAATGACTGCCCTAATTCACCCAGGAAGCTTTGGTGGAGGAAGCCAGACATGAACCCTATTTGCTTAGTCCAGCATCTTCAGCATTATGCCATGCTAGCTCTGGAGCCCAGTTGCAACTGGAATCAGGAGCAATATGGTCACACATTCCGGGATACATCTATGCTCCTTTTGGGGGAAGAACTTTGCCCGGCAAATCACCCCTTTCCTGGAGGGCAAAAGACACATTAGACAAACACAAGATCTTTCATTTTACCCTTGGTGATGTCTCTCCAAAAAGAGGCCTGTTATCCAGGCCTCTGGTCCCGTATGTTCTGGTGGTGAAATCCCCCATTATTTCACAGGGCTTCTCAAGTCCAGATATGAACAGTGTGCTCGTCTCAAAACAGAGTCATCCCTTGTTACAAAGAGGGCTGAAGCCCACAGGGCAGACAGAGCATCGGGCCGAGAAAAGGCAGTATTTATAGAAAATGCATTTCTCCTGTAGCTCTGGATGCTACAAGCTGGTTGTGATTCAGTGCCAGGGATCTGGGCCTCTCCTCCAAACCTCAACTTTCTTCCTCATGATCAGCAGCTGAGAAGAGAAAAAGAAAGAGCAGCACTGAGAATGGTGGAATGCTTCCCCACGGCCTGACCAATTGATTAAGGCTGTAGGGTTGTTCGCTGCCAGAACCATGGCAGGCTGAAGACGATGCTACCTGTGAAGACCTCCCAGACCTTCACAGCCATGAGGTGAAGAGGATGGACAGTGAAGGGGCAGAAGAGGCTGCAGTCGTGGGACTACTGCCCGGAATACTCTCTAACGTTATCAACGGCCTGCAAATGGTGTGCCAATTTTCAGCTTACAAGGAATTTCTTAACATGGAACAGTGACATCCTCACTATGGCGTGAAGCTTCACTATCCTTTCTACTACATAATAAACTGGATGGGATTAACTCAATAAGCGTTTTTGTTGTTTTGTGTGTTTAGCCTGTGCTGCTATTAGTACATCATGCTGCACAAGCCCAGAAAATCAGCCAATTCAGTAACCTGGTTAAGCATGCTGTGTGAATGCAGACGGTCTGTTGGGCAATTCCAGGTGGAACTCATGACCTTGGGTACATCAAGGGCAGGACAAGACTGGAACTCATGTCCAGAAGCTGCAGCAAATGTGTGACTGTAATCCCACAGATGCACACTGCTTAACCCTGCACTGTTTCTGGGGAAGTGTGTCTTGCACGGGCCAGCAGGGAATCCTGTAAGCAGGTGAGTACCTGGGCTGTAAGTGGCAAGTGAAAGAAAGGCCTTGGAAGGGCTCTGGGGGAAAGACTTCTGAGAAATCAGGTTAGTTTCTGCCATGAGAATAGAAGCCCCAGGAGTTAAAAACGTTGAAACCCGCCGATGGGTGGATTTGCTTCTCTATTGCCCACGCTGATATTAAGTGCATGGTCGGAGGGGTTTCTTGGGAGAGAAAAGAGAGGCTGAATCATTGCTCCAAGAAGTCACGGCTCTTTCTCATACCTGATGTTGCTCAACGTTGGCTTGCTGGGTTCATCCATCTCTTTGCTTCCCCCCAACCCCTCTTTGCAATTTTTAACTCTATCTCTAGCTATTCAGCCACTAGGATATCCTGGATCCCCAGTTAGGGTGGTCCCACATTTTATTTTTTTGTTAATCAAAACGCCATAAACTTTCATTCTCCTCCTTCGGACGACTCGATACTCTTCCCTCTCCCTCCCCGAACACAACCAGCTGGAAATAACTTCTCTGCCCAGAGAACCACCCCCTCGACACGAAACGGGAAACAAGCCCGAAGCGTAGCGGACCCCGGCGCGCCTCCGCCCGCGTCCCGCTTTCCAGCGCTGGATCGGCCCCACCTGCAGCAATCCGCTCCCAGCGAGGCAAGCGCGCCCCGCGCGACGCCCGGGCGCCTTCCACGGCCCCTGCCCGGGAAACCCGCGCCCGGAACCTCAGCCGCGCCGGCGTCCCGCGGCGGGCCTCCCCTCCGGCAGATGCTCCGCGAGCCCCGACCCAAGCGACCGTCGAAGGCGGCTGCAGCGACTGCCTGCTCTCCGCCGGGTTTATTTCGCTCTCGGGCACTGTCGCAAATTGCCCCACTTCCTCCGCCTACACAAATCCTGCCTTCCCCTGCGAGCTCATTGGCCTGATTTCGCCAATCCCGAAGCAGAGAATCCCCGCACCTTGCTGCAAACCTGGGATGGTGAGCCTGGGAGGCGCCACGGGTTGTTTTCGCTGGATCCGCTGTGCGAGGAGCAGGGAGCGACTGCGGCTCCTTCCTCGGGCGCGCGTTTAATCCTCCGCGTTCTGATGCTGCTTGTGAACAGACAGCCACGCTGGGCTTCCTCTGGGGAGCTCTCTGGCTCTCTTACTGGCGCGCAGCCGGCTCAGCGGTCAGTGTTTGACCCGTGGTACAGTGAAGCCTCCAGGTTCAGGGGCAGTATATCTTCGCATACCAGACAAACAGAGGAAGGCTATCCACTTTGTGTGCTGCTAGCGTTTATTAGTCACTGCTGGGTTCAGAATAGATTGCGGTTGGACTTGCATAGGAGAAGTTGTACCTTGGAAGAAGACTTTTTAAGTGGGGGAAAGCAAGCTCTGAGCGCCCACCTGTGCATGCAGACTCATGCACTTTCAAAAGATGCCGCTGAAACATTTGGTTCTGAGGGATTGCTGAGCCCTCTGCACGGTGCAAGATCTGGCTTTTAAAAAGGGCAGTCCTAATCCTATCTCAGAAGAAGCGTTCGGGTTCATAAAGAAGGCCTGTGATCAGCTTCAAACGATCCCACCCTTAGATCAAGGACTGATAGTTTGCATTTTAAAAAATCCATTGACTTCTGCTGGTGTAAATCAGACCCCTAAGTTACTGTTCCCCTTAGATTTTCCTCCGTCCCAGATGCTTCAATCTGATGAATCTGTCACTTAGGGAGTTCAAGGAATAGTAGCTGCACCAGAGGCAGCTCTTGGAACCAAATATCTTCTCTAATCTTCTAAAGGAGCGAATCATCTTTGGGTAATGTGGAATTTGTCCTAAAGCACGCACAGGCTCCTGTAATGCCGTTACACTGAGTTTATGCTTAGTTTTTCATGTTTACTCAGAACTTGAAATGACTCTGATATTGAGACGGTAGATGTACAATAAAGTTTGATAGGTAATCTAGAGATGACATATCTGAGCAACCAAAATCTGGACAATTAGTAAGTGGCAGCAAAGAATGAGTATTTTTCCGTATCTCCTAATTGTCTAGTGGTCATCTGGATTTTTGCAGGTCAGATCTGATATAAATCTTCATTGAAAGCTTCTGCTGACTTCCACAACTCTTCTTAAGCCTGCATGCACATGCCTGCAATCTTTGCTGACCGAGTAAAATGAAACATTTTAAGATGGGCATTCTCAAATGCTGGGTCACGAGCAACTTAGATGGGGGTTGCAATGTCTTTCTGAAAGCTGATCAGCTTTGTACAGGCAAAGCAAGAGCATTGTCAAAATTCACTCCCGCTTTGCCAGGAGAAGCACCACTCCCAGTAAAGAACAAAGCTCAGAGCAAATTTCAAAAGACGTGTAACTCTGTGCATGCTACCCAGTAATCATGGTTTTCCACCAACTGGGAACTTCCAACGAGGCATGTAATATTCTGTCTGGAGTGTATATAAAAATGTATGAATTAGTGACGTTCAATATTTTTAACCTGTGATTTTAAATGCCTAGCCTTTCAAAATGGAGCATTTTGTTCAGCGGCAAGAAGAAGGCTAAAGATGACCATTTAGCAGCAGTAGTGCTGATAAAAGTAAGCCTAAATCAAGAAAGCATGAGGAGTTACATAGCATTTTGTAATGGATACATGTATTTCTTGACCAGCCTTAACCCCAAGGAACGCAGGGTTCATTGAACTGTGTGCCAAAGATTGAGAATGCTGAGTTAAGATGGACATAGAAAAGTATCCTGTGGGTTTTATGTACCTAATCATTTTTATCCCTCTCTCTGCCTTCTAAAACTCAGACCACTTAATTAAATTAGTTTGCTGTCAGTCTAAAAATATTAGTATTAATATTAGAAAGTGTTAGAGCAGTCTAGGAAAGTATTTCATTGCCAAAAAGCATGATGTATCCACTAGTTTTTCACGCTGGAAGAAGATGAAACAAATTCAAGGAGGACAGATAAATTCAGGGAAGACACTATCAGTATTCATTAGAAATTAGTCCTCTTTTCACAAAAATTACTCTGTTCCACACCCCTCACAGCCAAGCTGTTTCCTACTTTCTAACTATTCCTAATTCATTTTTTTTCCTCACTACTCATCACAAATTATACAGGAATTAATTACTGTATTGTTTAGATTTAGACCCTACCTTTCTTCCAAGAATTGAGAAAATCCTTGGGTGAGTAACAACACATATGAGACATCATCATATGTTCCAAAGTACTTTTTCCTAACCAGTTTCCTACAATTAGTTTCATCGGTCATAGAAAACTCCTGCATAGAAATCAATTATTATTTTTTATATGTATATCCCACCTTTCCCCAAGGAAATACACAAAGCATCCTTCCTCCAATTTTTCCCTGTGGGAAACAGTTGGGCTGAGTGTAACTGGCCCCAAATAATTTTCCATTCCCAGGGTTGTCTCCAGGGGAGCATTAAAAAAAAAAAATCAAGATGGTGGCCATGACTGGGCAGCGAAATCCTTGCCCCTTTTTCGAATGGGTCTCACTCTTAAAAGGGACCTGGCTTTGACTGACTGACTGACTGACTGACTGAATATTCAACTTTTTAAAAGAAAAAGAGAATCAAAGCAGGAGAAAAAAATAAGCGCAAAGTAAACAGATTTACAAGCATCATAAGATTAAGTAGATTAAATATACATTCTCAGAATAATGTTAATTTAATGCTACATATCTGAATACCTTATGTCATTTTAAAACTACAGATCATTATTAGAATTAAGTCAATATACAAGTATCTAATCAGCACAGTATGAAATATAAGTTAAAGTGAAAAATTAGTCTTATCTAGTCAGTTAAAAAATCCATCCTTCTTTAACAAATTATCTATGACTTATATGTCAAAACTTTATATTAAGAGAAACCCAAATTTCAGATGTGATACAAGCCCATAGGTAGAATTATAGTCCAAAAATAGTTTCCATGTTAAAGTAAATTCTGTATCAGAATAAATTCTGTAATCAAATATGAGGTTATTTTAAACCTTGAGTCATAGTCCCACAACTTAATTTGCCATTCTTCTACAGAAGAAATTGTATGTACTTTCTGGTAAATGTTAAGTGTGCTAGCAGTTTGTAAAAGGATAAATTGCCTTAAAACAGAAAAAAGTTAGACGCAACTATCAAGGTCACCGTTGTTTTCTTTGCACAGGTCTGTCAGCTTAGGCATCTAGGCCCTTGCAGAGAAAGTGGGGGCGGGGGTGGTGTTTAAATCTCCTTAGAAGCACCTGCAGGCTGGCAGGTGGGTTTCAAAGGTTGTACGAAAGATGCTCCAGCAGGTAGACAGAAGGAGGGG